AATTACGGACCAGGCAATAAGTCCAGCAGCTATCTCAATCAATCGTCAGCTATGGAAAGATCGGGTTCCAAAGGCCGGATCCCTTGTGAATCAAGTCACGAAAAGTTCAAGAATCGGCAACAGGCCATGGGCCTATTTCTTCAGCGCCGACACTTCTATTCTATTCTATTCTATAGCAGCATAAATGATGCAATAGCCGCTATATTAACTGATGCTCTAACAGCATTACTAATGCAATAGCCGCTCAACTGATACCACAGCAGATTACAGATGCAAATGCCGCTCAACTGATGTCCTAACACCATTACTGATGCCATATAGTAGCTCAAATGTCATATTCCTCAGCAGTTTGTTCGGGGATTGCAAGTTCAGAAATGATCTTTGTTAAACTATTATTTGTCAGGTTCAAAACTTATTGTACTTGTAAAGTGTCTTTAGTAATATTTGAACAGTCCCAGTTTGCATGGAAATTTATAATAAATTCATTCCAAATTGGCGTTCATTCTACAGTAAAGTAATTTACAAAAAATCTACGCAAAATTGTGATAGTGAATAAAATAACCCAAACAAATCTTAAGGCGTACTCGACTCTTCATTAGACTCGCCCAAGACTCGAACCGCACGTAAATCAGCTTCTCTATGTCCTCTTCAGCTCAGGGTTTGAAGGGCAGACTCTAGGCAGTTTGCTAGCTCGGTATGACTCGACTCGGCTAACCCTTGTCATACTCTCAGGCAACTATAAAATTGGATAGGAGATTCTGACCAGAAACTCATTTCGATCGGGTGGCCAATCAGACCTAGAATAACTTGCGCCGAGTGTAGTGCTTTTCGGTCGAAGCCTAGGCGGTCCCCGAATTATGTTAGGGAATCTGGGAGGACAATGACAGTAGGTCACTTGTTCTGCGATACTTTATTGTTTTGAAATGAGGACAAAGGCAGTCTACATCAATACAAACAATACTATTCAGTTTCGTATCTAAGGGAGGGCACAATTTTTTAACAAGAAAACAGGTACCTTATTACATGTACCAACATCCTACTACAAAGTAGCACGATTAAAAACGAAATACAGAGATACCATACGTAAAACTAGTAAACAGAATCACCATAAAACTTACGATCGCTTACAAAAATTTGGAGAAAGCAGTCCCTGGTCGGTACCTGATACTTGAAGAAATTAATTTAGCGCTGCTGACTGTCAGAAGTGAGGAAAACAAATTGCCGAGGTCATTCTTCTCGCTCCCTTGATGCGAAAAACAATCTTGAGATCTCCACGTACGGCCATACACTTTCATTTATAATTTTAAAGTGTTGCTGTAATATTTAATATAAACTTCAGGTTGAAATTTCTCTGCGGGACGTGAAATAAATTATTATTATGAATTTCTTCATGACAATTTCTCTGACTATGAATTAAAATAGGTGTTTGAATTTCATTTCAGAGACTGAAGTGGGTTGTATTTTTGTCATATACAATAAAGCTCCTTAGCTTTTTATTTATAATAAAGGATATTTTACTATGATATTTTACACGCAGTGTTATGTTTCATGTTATGTTTTGTATTATGTTTCAAGACGTAAATAGTAAAAATGTAGATTGATCGGTCTACCGATAATGCGCTTACAACAATAGAAGCAGTGTGCGTATTTTAGGCGTAAATCAATCATTCAACTGAATTAATCACTAATTTAAATTCACAACATGCCGATGGTTTTTATTTGCATCTATATAATGTATGAAGTCAAACTATAAAGTTTTAGAGCTGCCTCTACGCCTGGGAAACACTTAGAATACGTCTCGTATAAACACTATAAACACGAATCCATGTGATGTATATTACCGAGTAACTATCAATTACATTATGAGTTTAGTTTACTAACCGAAATATTAATAACTATTTTAAACTATATAGTTTACTAACCGAAATACATAGGTTATACCGAAATATTATTGATTTGAAATATTATAGTGATTTTTAACTTTAGAGCCCGAGACGAAGATCTTGGGCGGCCCCGACATCCACATAAACCTCGGCTCGACGCTGAACCTGACGTGCCTGGTGCTGTACCATCAGCGGCCGCCCGACGTCACGTGGCTGCATCGCGACCAGGTCATCCTACACTCACACAGATAAATGCGTCAGATTTCCCCCAATAGTGAAAACATTTTTTTATTCTCGGCATAAGCAGGAAGTGGACGTAGCATCGATACGCCCTATATAGCACCGATACGCCCTATATAGCACCGATACGCCCTATATAGCACCGATACGCCCTATATAGTATGTCAAACTCAGTCAAACTCAGCTGCTTTTTTTCGCTTCATGACAAGTCAGTCCAGATGACCCACGTAAGAGCCTGATGTGTGTCGCTAATTGAACGAAGTCCATTCCTCTGAGTGTCCAGAATCTCAGTATTAATTAATGCTTAGATAAAAGTGCATCTTATTATAATTTTTTAAGGCCACTTTACAGGTTTTTCATGAATTTTATAATTATGTAAATTGTACAAAGAGCGCGCGGATATATATTCATGATTCGGCCAAGTTGCAGAAACCAATTTTGACGATGTCCAATCAACGAGCTCGTTAATTCTGCTCCATTTTCTATGTCATTATGTGAAGTGCCGTGGATCTTTTTTTAATTCAATAATTAATGAACCTTATTCACATGAATTCTACAATTCCACTTCATTTTACCATAGTGTCCAACTGTACCAATAAACAGGCGATTGAGGCCTGCAAAATTCACTCACTAACAGATCTCCTTCCTTGCATTCCAAATAATAATCACAGTGGTAGTAATTCAAAATAGGGAATTCATCAACCAAAACAAGCAGGTCAAAGCTCCAAATAATTTAAGTCGGAATTATCAGAGACAAAATGTAGAACCATCTCGTTCCATTGAATAAATGATGAGTTGAGTTGACATTTTAGTCTAAATGGAATAAAAACTTGAATAAAAAGTTTATTTGCTACATCTTCGACTGGCAGATTTTGTGTGAACTTCAATGGTGTTTTGTCACTATGTAATTTTTGACATCAATAGACTAGCGAAACCATGTGCATGTTTGAAATAGAATAACATATTATCACCGATAGAAAGTTATGTCATTATTACACAACCTGACGACCAGTATTATGCTCCTGGTTCCCAGGTGGTAGGCTACCAGTCAGCGCGTGGTGGGGTGAACGTGGTCACCGAGAGCGGTGAGGCAACCAGGAGTTCGCTGCTCATCCAGCGCGCCGCCCTCTCCGACGCCGGCACCTACACCTGCCGTGCCCACGGCGGGCGCGAGGACTCCATCACCGCGCACGTCCTGTCTGGTGAGTTGCTGGTCAGGTCCTGTGGCTTGTCCGGTGAGTTGCTGGTCAGGTCCTGTGGCTTGTCCGGTGAGTTGCTGGTCAGGTCCTGTGACTTGTCCGGTGAGTTGCTGGTCAGGTCCTGTGGCTAGCTTGACTGGTGAGCTGGAGTTGCTGGTCTCAAGTGGTCTCTGGTCACGTCAGGTATATTGATGAAAACTATCAAGTTTATTTGAAATAAAGCCATAAAATTTTCGAGCTTCTTTTATATCTCATATAATTACCTATACTTGCATGGAATCGTAATTAATTGCTTACTGCGAAGAATTCACGTCAAGATTTTTGACGATGGAACATCAATAATGTTCAGCTAGATAATCAATTTTTTCAAGCTAAATACTTGTTTGTTGTAATTTTAATTGTGGCTTGCATGACTGCCAATTTGAAACATATACTGTTCCTAAAATGCAAAATTTGAAAGTTTGTTTTGAAATCAAACTCGGTTTTCCGCAACGACAGAGAAGCTGCAAGCAGCGATGCACGGCAGCAGCAACAGCCAACACACCTCGGTGCTGATGCCTTCCTTTGTGGCCGCGTCTCTCAGTTACGTTCGGCTAAATTATCTCCTACAAGAACCTCTCCGTCGGCGACTGTAAGGAAAACTCGACGCTTCCTGAACTAAAAATTATGTCTCGAGTGCTTACATTCTTTGCTCCAGTCTCCCCTCACAGAAATTCAGCAACATAAAAGTCTGAGAGGAAAGTTAGGAGTGCTCAGTGCCGTGATGCGGTTTACTTCGATGAAAATAATTGGGGATAATTAATTGAATATTGTTAGTTTGACATGAACATTTTAAAATTGTACTTCTTCCGCTTTTTCGTACGCAGAGACATTCCATTGAAGTGTTTTAATCGCCCCGTCATCTCTGCTACGAAAATTTATGAATATATATAAAAAACAATTGTTGCCTGCGAATTTTAGAAAAAATACTCGCAGTAAAAAATATTTTTAGTTAATTTCAGAGCTACGTAGTAAGTGGCTAAGAATGTTGAGGAATCATGGTGAACATAAACTCTAAAGTGTTTTCGTGTTGCTCAGGGCAAAATCCTGGACTTGAAACTTCAGAAGCTTTTAAATCCAAACTCGAAAGTTTTAATTTTCATCCTAAAAATTAAAGCATTTGAGTGATTCTTTTGATTTCATTTTCTTTTGTGTATGTGTCAAGGTTTCTTAGTGAGTGTTTTGTTGTAACCTTTTTTCCACTGAAATCCAAGTGTATTTATATGCAGGCAAATGAAGAATTTCACGTAATATAGGCGAACTCTCTAACGAGGTGCCTAGATCACAAATTCTTTTTCTCTTGCAACTTTGTTCAGACAACGGCGACTGGCGACAACTTTGCCGTATCTTAGGACGCCGAAAAGCTTTCCTATGCACTCTTTTTATTTTTTTGTGAATTAATTGTTAAAAACATGTCAGGAATTGAAAAGCCAAATATGTATTCTATATTATATTACAGTAGCAGGAAATTTAAACTGAGGAATATTCCTTTTAAACGTAAGCAAACGTTTATGCAAGAGTTATTTTACCGACAAAGTTTTTTCACACCACCTATGCATAATTGCACCTGGCTTTATGCTCGAGGTGTCATGTCATTTTTCATGTATAAGATATAACTCCAGAATCCAATTTTACCTCAGAAACAAATTAAATGGATTAACGGTCAGGGCGTGACGGCAGAACGAAATTAATCAGAAGTTTTTTCCAAGACCAAAACTCTACGGAAAGCACAGCTAAAATTCAACTAACTTTTCAGGGCGGCTGTAAACTACTCAAATGGAAAATTAATCTGGGAAAAATTATTGTTTATCTCTCAAATCCCTATCGCTCGTCGAGGTAAAGTGTTTTTTCATGTTTCTTGTGAGCCACTTGCCGACTTCGCATGAATTTGTGTAACTTTCCCATATACAAAGAACAATTCGTAGGCCAAACATCAATTCGTATATGCTCAATTTCTAGGAATTTTTTATAATTTTTCTCATGCAGTCAAATCATTAATCCGGAGAAGATCATAAGTCGTTTTTCAATCGAGGTTTTATCTGTCGTAAATATCAAAATGATGTAAATATAAAAATACTACGTATGAATACCTAGCAAGGTCAAAACTCCATTTGTGTACAATTATAAGTGATAAATTATAACCTATACTAAGTGAGTTAATGAAAACCTCAATGAAGTAAGGGGTGCTGTTACCTTTGATTAGTGAAGCGAATAGTGTAGTATCCAGTCGTCCATATTGTAACGAGTCCTTCTTAAGGTTTTTGATGTTCTATATTTGTACTACATTTGAGGAACTTTGGCGCGGGTTCTCTCAGCGTAAGCCGCTTTCAGACCTGCTGAACGAACGAGCACCTGCTAATCTTTAAGCTTTGACTTCCTGCAACAGTCCAAAGGAAATCCTATCTTAGCACTCCAAAGAGTTCGTTATACGCTGTGTTGTTTCCTGCTGTTGTTCTTTTTGTTGCCTCATGTTCTATAACAAAAATTTTGCACTACTTTGCAGAAAATGCTCTCTTGGCACTCCTAAGAGTTTGTTGAGGTTTTACTTTGTACTCTGATGCTTTACATCATGAGTATTGTACTATAGTCTTCAGATAATCCCCTCTTCACCTACATAGAAGAATATCTTCATGTTTCTTTTTTTACTTTGATGATGAACAAATAGAGTTTTGCAATATGTATAACATAAAAATAGAACGTGTTTGTAATTTTAAGAATTGAACAAAATATTAATTTTTGAATTTAATTTTTAATGTTAAAATTTTCGAGCTATATTTTTGTTGATACGAAGCAAGTGTATTATTTTATACTCCTTGTAGCAAATTTTGCTGCTTATGAAGAAATTCTTTAATTATTCTCTAAGTGGATGACATGTATAAGCAAATATATAAGGTTGCCAGTTTTAGATCCTTTGTTGATCCTATAATTAGCGGTTAAAATGTTAGAGTACATATCGTAGAACAACTGTAGTGACTGTAGTATCTTAGATTAAACCACTCTACTTCTACTTACCATAACTACCTTAACGGACTTCAAATGTGTTTCACATTCTTATTGAATTCCTAAATGTTTTTTCAGTTTCATATTATATTCAGTTATTTGATTTGCAATTTGATAAATAGGGTTAAGCTGTAGATTTATTTACCGCTATTGAGTTTATCGAATTTGTTTGATGCACCTGAAGTTATTCACGAACAGGAATATCTTGTGTCCGATCGGTTGATAAACTTTGCAGGGAGATAAGTGATTGGTAATTGAAGCGATATGAGATATTTAGTGCGGTGATTGTACGTGTAGGAGGCTCAAATTAGTAGCCTTCCATGGCTCAGTGCATAGTTAATTGGAAGTATTGTGATAGTTTTACTCCTAATTATCTCTAGGCTCATTGAAGATAGCAATATTTGTCTTTGTTCGTAGTTAACACGATTCTTGTACGTCTGTGAGCTTCCAAGATGCCGAGAGTTTGTTTCATGATATGGCATTTTAAAATCTTTGAATTAGATGCGTATTTAAATAAATATAAAATTCCCTAGATAAGATTTGGAGCTAAATTTATTAACAAATATCTTCACAGAAGTCGAAAGCAATAAAATTGTAATCGCGAATAATCCTTTGTTTCTCGTGTAAGTTATGCAAGTGGTCATGAACGCCTCCTGAAGGCCGAATGAAAAACACTGATGTTATTTTCTGAGAAACTTGCGAGCTCAAGTCCAGCGGAGTAGAAAATTGAAGGAAGTTTCTTCCCGAGATCGCGCCGCTCTCCTTCAGAAACAATGGCCGAGCAAGACGCTTGTGACGTCTGCACTTCCATGACACTGAACTGAGCCAGCTGCTCAGCTCAACTAACTGTTCAGCTCAATCAGCTTCTCAGCTCAACCAGCTGCTCATATTACGGTCAAGAATGATACATGAGCTGTCTAACATAACCTTGGCCATTACCGAGTTTTCTACTAAAAATTTTAAGGGGCCATTGGCTGCTCACTTGGTGCAGCAGACGATTCTTTTTATGACAATTGTAAAACTCACTATAACTTTCCAACTTGTCGTGTCAGGTACAATGTCTTTTGCTTTCAAGCCCTGTCGTGTTTTTGTAAATTCTCTGCCAGCTCCATCCATTTCCAAGTAATCTCTTCAGTTTTGACAATCAAGTTTTTCCTGATTTTTTTTAACCGTAAAATCGTGAAAAGATAGTTAGGAAATTTTTATTTCTTTCTATGACTTATTTCTATCAACCTAATCTTCTAGAGCTCAAATCTTGAATCTACAAAAAAAGAAAGCAAGAAGTTCTTGTAAACTCAATAAAATTTAGTCCGATATTTTGGACAAGAAGGTGCAACTTGTCGCTTGAGCTCTCGGGCGATGACTAGTCGAAAAAATTGTCATGTGAGCGATCGGATTATTGAGTGAGATTGTTCAAGTAACTATTTACGTTATGAATAACGAGGTCTTTTGTGCAATTACCTCACTTCCCTAATCTTAAGAACGTCCTTGAATGAGTTGATGTTGTCCATTAATTCGTAACATTAACCTTTGTGTTAAGGTTTATATGCTCATGTACAATTATGGTGAGTTATGTTCACTAGCAATTAAGGACTTCAGGGGGCAATAAACTCCTCAAAAAACTACTAGTCTAGTTTTATTTCTCATCGTCACAAATTAACACTAAATCTGTTGATTCCCGCTTATAAGTTCCTATTTTTTATCAAAATTTCTTAATATATTGGAAGTTCATGACTCGAATGCTCGAAAAACGAAATCACCTATCGGTTTATGGACACCCAACACCTTGATCCCTTTTTCGTTGCTTTTTCTCTGCTTCGGATAAATTTTCATGTAGTGTTATTCCCTCTTATCTCTGAAATTAATTTCCTACAACTGCTCACTTTATCTCTTGAACAATTGGTTCACTCAATTGCGAATTTATTAATAATGAGCCTTTTACCGTCGTGTTCTCCGTAATTAGCTTTTGCTTCAATTTATTTAAAAATCTCTAAACGCAATGCACAGCTCTTCACTTAAGCCCGCCGTCACGTGCCATCTCATACCAGCCGGTCACTTGTCCACCCTGCCTCTCGTCCAGCCAGCCATGAGTACACCCAACCATGAGTACACTCAACCATGAGTACACTCAGCCATGAGTACACTCAGCCATGAGTACACTCAACCACGAGTACCACCTAACACTCGTCCACCCGGCAGCGCGTCCACCCGGCCGCGCGTCCACCTTAACACTCGTCCTCCCGACCGCGCGTCCACCTTAACACTCGTCCACTCGGCCGCGCGTCCACCTTAACACTCGTCCACCCGGCCGCGCGTCCACCTTAACACTCGTCCACCCGGCCGCGCGTCCACCCTAACACTCGTCCATCCGGCCGCGCGTCCACCCTAACACTCGTCCACCCGGCCGTGCGTCCACCCTACACTCATCTAAGAAGACGAGCGTCCACCCTAGCTGACACTCGTCCACCCGGCCACTCATCGAGTTCTGCAGCAAAAAATAAACGATCACTCCAGATCCTTGAAGTCTTCGGTCTTCAGCAGTACAAAACAAACAATCAAAATCCGAGTACAGATGCTCAGAATTTCTAAGCAAACATCAGCACATAACGCTGTTGTATAACAGGTCTCTGGAATGGCTGGTTGATTGGTCTTCACTTTCCGATTTGAGTTGATTTACGATTCTGTGTGTGCGCGGTTTATTTCATAGCCTTCGTGAAAATTTCTAGCGGCATTAATTAGTTGATGATTATATCCAAGTACATATAACGCGTGTAGCGAAACTCTGCGCAAATATGCTACTGAATCTACGATCGGCGCATCACGTATGATAGTTGTCAATAGCAATCATGCCAAGATGCATGATTGCTAGCAAGTATCTTGGAATGATATCCATGCATTTCGCT